AGCCTCGCTCTCGTATCATGGGGGGATCTCCTGCCCCTCTGGGCAGCTGGCCATGGCTGGTGAACCTTCGGCTGGACGGGGCTCTGATGTGTGGGGGCGTGCTGGTTGACAGCTCTTGGGTCCTCACTGCCGCCCACTGCTTTGCTGGGTAAAAGCACAAATACATATCTACATAATTACATTTTAATGCGAAATGGGATACCTTGTTGCCTTTTCACTTGAAAATCTTGCTGTTTGTATTGGTACTGAGAACATGAGATTATTTTGCTCAGATGGATTTTTGAATGAGCAATATTTGAAGCTATTGTAAAATACCAGAACAACACACACTTGTGACAGTGATTAAATGTGCCATTACATTAAAAAATAATGAACCACAGCACTGTCTTTTCTCATATTGCTGTTCTCGCCATTTTCTGAAAAGGATTATAAATTGTGCTGTGTCTTGTTGCTTTATTTGTGAATGTACCCAAATGTTTTGTGAACGTCTCAAATTGATCTCCCCCAATTAGGAGCCGCAGTGAGAGTTACTGGACCGCAGTAGTGGGAGAGTTTGACCGCACAAAAACTGACCTTGATGAGCAGATCATGAAAGTCAATCGCATCATCACTCATCCGAAGGTAAACACATCAAAAACGCAACCAGTCCAATATTCCACTTATTAATTTACCATATATATATATATATATATATATTTATACATACATACACACACACACACACACACACACATATATATAATTATTTATTTAATATATATATATAATTATTATTATTTTTTTTAAATATGTCCCTCTTGTATCCAATTCTTTTCTCTTGGTGAAGTTTAACCCAAAGACGTTTAATAACGACATTGCTCTGGTGGAGCTGAGTTCTCCAGTAATTCTGTCTGAACGGGTCACACCTGTCTGCTTGCCCTCTGACCTCGATCCACCGGCTTGTACACCCTGTTTGGTGGCCGGCTGGGGCTCTCTGTATGAGGGTAAGAGAATCTGTATAATTCATATTTTAGAAAAAAGAGCCCAATAATATCACACAATATTTGCTTAAAATGCTGTGAAGTGTTTGCTTATTCATGTTTGTCTTGATTCTCTGTATGTGTGTAGACGGACCCTCTGCAGATGTGGTGATGGAGGCGAAAGTGCCACTGCTGTCTCAGACCACCTGTCTCAGTGCACTGGGGAAGGAGCTGCTCACGAACACCATGTTCTGCACTGGGTACCTGTCTGGAGGCATCGACTCATGCCAGGTATCTCCACATTATCATACTAGCTTGCTTTATAAACACTACACCTGCTTTACAATCATCTGACTAGAATCTGTGTCCTTGCATGTGTACAGGGTGATTCCGGAGGGCCGTTGATCTTCCAGGACCGTTTATCGGGACGGTTTCAGCTCTTTGGCATCACCTCTTGGGGGGATGGCAGTGGGGAGAGGGGAAAGCCTGGTGTTTACACACGGGTCACCGCCTTCTCTGATTGGGTCATGACAGAGATACAGAGTGAGTTGCTCAACAATGTTGCACACACTACTGAAATCAAAGAATATCTCCACCACCGTGAGTTTAAACCCTCCCACACTTTCTGCTTGATGAAAAGCCACAAATACATTCCATTCTCCAAATTCCAGAGTCCTTTGGGAGTCGGGAGCCCACATGTCCTGAGCTGCTTAAGACAACTGAGCTGTTTGAAGAACAGCAGATGTCAGAATTCACCACACTCTGCCACTTCTACACACTATCCTGCTCTTCGACCCTCGACCCCTCTGCCTGCCAGCGTCTCGCTCAGGACAAATGCCAAAGCCGGTTTAAGAAGTGCCGTAAGTTATCCAGACAGTTGAAATGAAAAAATCGAATTACATATTTAAACAGAATTAACCTAATGTTAAGTGCTAGTTTGGATGTGCATACTAATTTTTTATTATTACTATTTTCCAGATTTTAGAATAATAGTAAAGTCATCAAACTATGAAATAACACCAATGGAAATATGTGAATTATTTAGTCATCTTTACAAGCTCTGCACCTTAACAAAGTGCATTCTGGGATGCTTTTTATACTGCATTGAAGGAGTTCACATGTATGTTGGGCACTTGTAGGCTCGCTCAGTTTTATGAAATTCAAATCATGTAATGAATTTAAACTAGTTTTTAAAGAAATGTGTATGTAGGCACAATTTATTCTACACAACCTATTTCAAGCATTTTTTTTAATCCTAAATAAAAGGCTTAAATTAAATTTTAAGATCATAAATTTAGTTACGCACTGTATGTCCAAACTTGACTCGCAGTGTACTTTGATCAAAAATACAGTAAAAACTGTAATATAGTGAAATTTTAATATATTTTAAAATATATTTACCTTCCCTCCATCTATTGCCTTTCTTACTGTCTGCTGTCTTTCTCTCTACAGAGTTGCATTCCTTTCTGCAGACTCTGCTGGACTTGCTTCAGAGGGCCGATGACTGTATCAGAGATAAAGTTGATCTGACCTTCTTCACTCAGACTCTACCTCAGTTGGTGGAGAATGTGTACAGCTCTGCTCCTATAACACGAAGACGCAGAAGTGCACTTGAAACAGGTAGAGCCATTAAACCTTTCTGCACTATACTTGTACAGCCAATCAGGGCTCAGGAGAGGATATACAATGCTTTCCAGAATGCAACTGTATATATCATTCTCCATATTGTTATTCTTCTAACCAACATATTATTCTCAAAGAGCAGGTAGGCCAGCCAGCACTATTCCAGCAAGTGGGCCCTCTGGTGGACGACTGGGAGAGCTACCTTACAGGCATTGCTGAAGATCTGGATCAACACAAAGAACTAAAGAACTCACAGGAACCGTCTCAGGAGCAACAACTCTTCACACCGGTAAACTTGTCTAATTTAAACTAAGGTTTTACATATGATGGAGCAGCATGTTCACTACATTTCTGTTTAAGAAGACAGACATTAGTTAACAATAAACTAAGACTGATGGTGATTTGATGAAATTTTCAGGATGAGGACAGTGAAAAAGCACCTCTTCAGCAGCTTGACGGATTACTACTCTCCTCCATTGCTGCCCTGCGTTCCAAGTTAGACTCACTGCGCATTCCTGTCATACCAGAATTGGACCACCAACTGTTTCAAAGGGATTTCAACATTCCCACCACTGGAAAACAACAACAGGATAACAGTGCCAAATCTAGGGAGTCTGTATTGTCAGTTGACATTTGGACTGCTGTGATATATAAAGCTCTGAGAGGAAGCGGCACAGGAACTGTCACAGGACGTCCGGTGATGACAGCAGGATCTCAGGATCATATGGATACAACATCCAGATCCGTGGAACCGTCCACACAACCACTGAAACTTTCTGACTCTGTCCCTACCCAGATGCCCCTGCTTCAACAGCCACTCTTCAAAAGTAAGTGTTAATACTGGGAAACTGAGTAGCAGAATATTGAGAAACAATAACAGGAAACTTTTTTGCAATAACTATAATTTTCTTAACCTGCAATAGTCGTCTTACCACAACAATGAACGTTTAGACCACTGTAGAACTCAAATAATATATATTTTAAAGAAAGAATGAATGAAAATGAATGAACAAAAATACAAACTTCAATTTTAGCTTCAATTTTATTTTATATGATATTTTATCATTACTATTATTATTATTATTAATTATTACTATTACTACTATTATTAAATACTTGTTTTTAATTTATAAAATAACAACAACAACAACTATTAGTAGTATTAGAGGTAGTAGTAGTATTGCAGAATGATGTGAAACCATGAATGTCCAGACTAATAGACTAATAATTGTTTCAGAGCTCCTGTGGAGGAGAAAGAGAGATCTACACAAGCGACAGATACGAGGAGCCAATGTCAAAGGTACAATTTCTCGTTTGATTTAGCGTTTCTATCCATTCATATGATTTGAAAAGGAATATGAGGTTAATATTACATTTATTTTAAGGAGTATGAGTTGTATTATTTACTGTTTTTAAAGGCGGTGTGTTTCAAGGCTTTGTTCTTTGTGTTTTGTAGTTTGCTCTGGAGTAACTGAATCAGCTCAGCTGGTCAGCAACACCAAAGTGATGTACAACTGGATCCTGGCTGTTCCATCTAACAACATAAACATGATCTTCCAGGAGGTGAGTCTGTGTGTGTCGTAGAAGTTCATTTGCAAGTAAAAAATATGATACTTATGTACATGTTTTGACAGACAGACAGACAGGTCATGCAAGTACATATTTACAGAGGTTTTCGGTCTGTAAGTTTTTGTAATTTTGAAAGTAGTCTCTTATGCTCACATTTATTTGATTAAAAATACAGTTTAAAAAAGTAATATTCTGAAATATAATGTGGCAATTTAAAAGAACTGTTTTCTATTTTAGTGCATTTTAATGTAATTTATTCTTGTAATGGCAAAGCTGAATTTTCACCAGCCATTAATCCAGTCTTCAGTGTCAAATATCCTTCAAAAAATCATTCTAATGCTGATTTGCTGCTCAAAAAACATTTCTTCTTATTATCAATGTTGAAAACAGTTGTGCTGCTTAATATTGAGATATTTCAGGGTTCTTTGATGAATCTGAAGTTCAAAAGAATTAAAAAAATGTATTTTTTTTAAATAAAAACATTATAAATGCCTTTCACAGTACCTTCACTTTTGATCAATTTAATGCATCTTTGTTGAAAAAAATTTATCAATTTCTTTAAAAAAAAACTACTTACCCCACATATTTGTAATGTATATTATGTTTGTGTGGTGTTGTTTTTGTGTTGTATTTTAATTCTGTATATATCTCATTGAGTGTGTTCATCATCTCAGGTGCTGGTTGACCTGAATTCTAAGAATGAACGTGGTTTGTACCAATCACGGATCAAGGCTACTGTTGGTGGGCGACCTTTGACCTTTTACAGCTTGGTGGGTTTGGAGAATGAAGCGTTCTATCGCAGAATGCCACGCATCATTGCCGTCGCCATTGATGCTCTCAAAACATAAAACACACTCATATACGCTGCTGAAATCATACTTGAGCTGAAATGGCATCCGTGACATTGAGTGTTATTACATCCTAAACCTTCTAATGTGACATCACCTGCTGCTATGGAAATGATTGGATGAGACCTTCTTTCTAGAGTCATCACAGGACAGCTGACACTTTTCTGGAGGATGAAGGGTCTCAGTCGGTCACTGTGTGTTCATCATCTCAGGTGCTGGTTGACCTGAATTCTAAGAATGAACGTGGTTTTGTACCAATCACGGATCAAGGCTACTGTTGGTGGGCGACCTTTGACCTTTTACAGCTTGGTGGGTTTGGAGAATGAAGCGTTCTATCGCAGAATGCCACGCATCATTGCCGTCGCCATTGATGCTCTCAAAACATAAAACACACTCATATACGCTGCTGAAATCATACTTGAGCTGAAATGGCATCCGTGACATTGAGTGTTATTACATCCTAAACCTTCTAATGTGACATCACCTGCTGCTATGGAAATGATTGGATGAGACCTTCTTTCTAGAGTCATCACAGGACAGCTGACACTTTTCTGGAGGATGAAGGGTCTCAGTCGGTCACTGTGTACAGAGACTGGACTGACGTGACAATATGTACACCCCGATTTAACTTATTTCACAGGGACAGAGGTTGATCCTCCTGTCTGAGCTGCATTATATTTGATGTTTGTTATATATTTATTTGTATTACTTTGTATTTTTTATATGAAAGCAAATCATTAAAAAAGAGAAAATTAAATGGAGTTAAAGATTTAACACTTTAAATAAATTTTGTCTTTATATTTAAGAGCTTGTCAGGTATTTCTTTCTTTCTTTCTTTTTAAAAACACACAATGACAAAATTCTTATACAAAAAAAGAACCAAACACACGCGTTCTATCGCAGAATGCCACGCATCATTGCCGTCGCCATTGATGCTCTCAAAACATAAAACACACTCATATACGCTGCTGAAATCATACTTGAGCTGAAATGGCATCCGTGACATTGAGTGTTATTACATCCTAAACCTTCTAATGTGACATCACCTGCTGCTATGGAAATGATTGGATGAGACCTTCTTTCTAGAGTCATCACAGGACAGCTGACACTTTTCTGGAGGATGAAGGGTCTCAGTCGGTCACTGTGTACAGAGACTGGACTGACGTGACAATATGTACACCCCGATTTAACTTATTTCACAGGGACAGAGGTTGATCCTCCTGTCTGAGCTGCATTATATTTGATGTTTGTTATATATTTATTTGTATTACTTTGTATTTTTTATATGAAAGCAAATCATTAAAAAAGAGAAAATTAAATGGAGTTAAAGATTTAACTCTTTAAATAAATGTTGTCTTTATATTTAAGAGCTTGTCAGGTATTTCTTTCTTTCTTTCTTTTTAAAAACACACAATGACAAAATTCTTATACAAAAAAAGAACCAAACACACATGGAAAAAAAAGTATCTGGGCATTGTAATATATGAGCTACAATATATTTTATTCAAATTGAGCTTTTATTTTAACCTACCTCCCTGTTCCTTTCTTTTGTTCCTCTTCCCCCTTTTTCTTTTTCCCCTTTATTCCTTCTTTTTCTCCTTTTTGCTGCTTTTTCTTCTTCTCCTCCTTTTCCTTTTTTCTTTTATCCCTTTCTCCTTTTTTCCAGGCATGTATTTCATACCATTCCAATATTTAATTCCTGTCTTTTTCTACTGTTATATTTATCCTTACACTACCACTATCTCTGATGTAACATTTCTATTTCAGATTTATTAGATGGGAAAGGGAAGAAATTGCTGTGAGAAATCACCGTATTTAAAGGCTTGTTTACCCCCACTGAACCTGCACTTGCTATGATCATGATAGTTCATGGCAGCTGAACATCTCTGTCAGCAGAAAGCAGCGCTGGAAACTCAGGGGGGCTTTTTTGTTTGGCTCAGATTTAATTTCTGAGGTGTTTTAGCATACGGGAACTGTGCTAATTGTGCTGTTCCGCAACAGGTGTTCCTACATTACTAACAAACGTCATTCTGATTCTTTATTTGGAGCTGATGACAATCCTCTGGGCTTCAGAATGAGCATTAAAAGATTCTGGAGGATCCTAAAGGAACACTGAGAAATGCCATGCTGCATTAGTACTTGATAGTTGGCAGTTGCAGCTCATTGTCTTTTCCACCCAGTATGTTCCCCATAAGAAGCATGCTTTAGTGATTTATTCAGAATAATGTAAATTCACTTTCAGTGCCAATCAACTGTAGTTTCATGGGTTTGCATGTTTATATAATTCCTTGAGTATGATTGATTCAAGACTCAATTTAAGCACTAAAAGCCCCACTGGAATTATGAATGGACAGAAATAAAGCATGAGATGGGGTGGTGGATGCCAGAAGAACTGTCACACACAGTAGTGATGCAAACAGCTGTTGCGTCATGATTGACAGGATTGTATGAACTTGCTCCTCTCATACTTTAGTTTAGAATTCCATTTTAATCCATCTCTTGGCAATCTCAATCAACAAGTAGTACCAGTACGAAGTATTCTATTCTATTCTATTCTATTCTATTCTAATGGAATTATATGGAATGATTTTGTATTAATAAGCCCTGTATCTCTGATCCTCAAACAAACAACCAGTCTAGAATCCTTCATTCCAAAATTCCAAAGTGTTAAAAATAAACCCCAACACTCATCGGTAAAAGATTGTAGAGGTGCAGGGTGGCAACACATGATATTTCTGAGCTCTCTGTCTATGATCAGATATTATGATCCTTTGTTACATTTACTCTGACAGCTTTAAACATGAAATTCATGTTTATTCAACAACAAAGGATGTTGATTAAAGCATCCATCCATCAATCCGGATCTTTCGTTCATTCGTTAGTCTGTCTGTCTGACTATCTACCATCCATCCAGATTGTTTGTTCATTTGTTAGTCTATCTCTCTGTCTGACTTTCTGTCTGTCTGCCTGTCTGTCTGTTTTTATATTTGTTTGTTTGATCTGTTCCTTTACACTGGACACGAGGTGAACCAGTTTATGAGGCATTTATAGCCATTCTGATTTTCACCAGCAGCTGAAATTGCTTTTATACAACAGTTCTGTAAAAAAAAAAAAAAGATTTTTATATTACCAGTTACTTGTCTTGTTTGTTCCACCAACTAAAATAGTTCTAAAAACATCCAAAGCAGAAGCAACTTTTTCGTGTCCCCAAGTAACATAAAGCAGTTATGTTTCTCGAACTAATAATTGTTTTTTAATGATTCCGTTTAGTGAATGATTAAATGACTCATACAAAACCATTTTATTCCCCTAAAAAAAGACAATGACTTGCATTTTCAACAGTTTTTTTGTCAGATCTTTTTGGGAAAAAATGGATAAGTATCAAGGTTTCTCATTTGATGTATCTCCAAGACATCCTAAAACATAGATTAGACTAAATGCAGCTGTCAGAAATGTATGCCTCAGAGATGCCATTAGGCTTAAAATAATACACTAGAGGATATGATCCCCATTAGCACCCGTTGACCCACAGTACAGCTCACAGCTCTGCTCAAACACTCAAAAATTCCAGAAAACTGTCTATTCATGCATAAAACATGCTTAAAACTCCACTAACCCCTTAAGATCCTAATTGAAAGCTAAACCAACCCAATTTGTAAATGAAGGAATTTATAGGAATTTATGGTGTTATGACCCTCTTTGTCACCCCAGATGACAATCGTTAGACAGAGTTGAACACATGACAGCTGATGACACACATCCTTCCACAAATCATGCCTGGGACACACCATCTGTGCACAGACTTGTGGGAAATACTGTAACCTTATCTTTCTGCTTGACATCAGAGAAAAAACAGACAGAGAGAAAACAACTAGTTCCAGTGACCTCTCTTTGAGGTCTTCGATATGTGTGTGTGTGTGTGTGTGTGTGTGTGTATAGTGACAGCTGAAAATGTGAGGAACTGTATGGGTACAGACTGTGTGGGCATTCTGAAAATAACAATGAGGATTCAAGTTTGGAACCACACCTATTTTTCCTGTAACCCTTCCCGTTCCTAAACAACTGTGTTTCCCTCACACACACAGCTGGAGAGCCCTTCTTCACTAATGCTGCTCTGAGGATATTAGACATGGATCTGATCTCTTCCGCAAAAACCATCTGGTTATGGACCCTTCTATCACTCTCATTCTCAGGTAATATGGCGTGTTCTTCTGAGTTCTGAGGGCTTGTGATGCACAAAGTGGCATGGATTATGACCTTGTGAAGTTTTCAGTGGTTTAGCATGGGTTCGTTCTAGCGGACAAATTCTTTATGGCACCACTGGTCTTTACATGTTCACACTCTGCCTTTGTGAAGTGTTAAAGCTAGAGAACTGAGTGTTAGCATGCTGAACTGTCAAAGTGGGTGTGAAATAAATCTTTGTTGATTTACATGAGAATTACATAATTACATAAATATATATCTGCTTTAGTAATAAAGAGATTGTTTTAATTGTAAAGATGTAATGTGTGTGTACACAGACCAACCAAGACTAAAGGTCAGCAAGAAGACTATTCTGAAAATAATTTGGAAGAACAAGAAACAAAAAAAATCATAACACAGAATGTTGAACCCTATAGGATTCAATGCAGTGGGCCCAATTGGTATTTGGACACATAAGTCACGCTTAATACATATATGAATTTCATTACATTACATAATAGAAGAGGGGGGAAATACGTACATCCAAAACATCTCCAACTGGTGCAAGACCAAAACTGAAAACATGAAATTAAAAGCTGAAAATCCACTGGAAAATCCACAAACTGCACTTTTCACAGAACTGACTTCAATTTTATGGAAATTAATTAAATGCAAGATTTTTAGTGCATTCATGACATCATTTTTGGGTCTTCACATTTCTGTACTAATTGCAGCAATCATTTTTTACAGTGAACATTCAAAGCTGTTGTTGTTTGTAATGATATTCAACAAAACATGTTTTTCAAATGACCAAGTTATTTTTTGAGTGAAGGTACAATAACTTTTTTTGATGAAGGATTAGATTGACATGCTGTGTGTTTCAGATGTGATCTGTAATCTAGAAGGATCTCTACACAGAGATCTAATGGTGGGATACAACAAGAACATACGACATATGGAGAACCATGGTGACATCACCGATGTGAAGATCAAGATGACCCTCACCAACCTCATTTCTCTGGTAAAGCTCCGCATGTGTGTGTATACACAAGGTAAATCTATGTGAAATATGTGACTCTATGGTTTGTCATCCCTTTTTTCATGTTCAGAATGAGAAAGAAGAGACCCTCAGCACCTGCGTTTGGATTGAGATGGTAAGATTAATCACATCTCTGTATATGTACAGTAAAATAAGCAGTGATTTCAGAGCAAAATACCTTTCTTTCTCTCTCTCTCTTTCCAGAAATGGCACGATTATCGTCTCCGCTGGGCCAACAGGACAGGGTTTGAGGTCTTTGAGAACATAACACGTATGCGTCTTCCCTCTAAAGCTATCTGGCTGCCCGACATTGGCCTGGAGAACAAGTGAGAGACTGAATTATTAAAGATTGATTTGATTATGCAGATTATCTAAAAGGCAGAAACACAGAATAAACACTAAAAAAGTTGCCGTAAAAATCCATCTTCATCATCATCATCTCACTGTATCTTCAACTTTGTTGTAGTTTTTTATTATGAAAGTAACTAGTCTGAAACATATTTGCAATTCTGAGCATTTTAGTCCATCAAATGTGACCTGTAAATACCTGTTTGTGTGTGTGTTTGTGTGTGTGTGTGTGTGTGAAGTGTGGATGGGCGTTTCGAGGTGGCGCTCTACACTAACGCTCTGATAGATCCTGACGGTAGCGTGGTGTGGTTGCCCCCTGCCATCTACCAAAGCTCCTGTGCCATCAAAGTCAACTACTTCCCTTTTGACTGGCAGAACTGCAGCATGGTGTTCAGGTACGGCTGATCCGTCTGTCTTGACAGTGTTGAGTGGTGGAAATACATAGAAACAGGACAAGTAGCTTTATTCTGGCTTTCATTCTGATTGTTTTGGCAGGTCGGAGACGTACAATGCCAATGAAATCGAACTGATGCTGTCAGACGAGGATAACGTCACTATGGAGTGGATTGAGATTGATCCAGAAGCTTTTACTGGTACTAAACCTCCTATAGCACTTTATTTTTTTGATATCAAGTAAAATTTAGTTGTTGCGTGTTATTCAAATTGTAAAACCATGTTTAACTGCTGTAAATTAAAGTCCTGCAAATCTTAGTAAACATATTAACTAAAATTACAGTCAGCTGGCTATCCATGCCAGACGGTGCAGCTGTGTTGCGTCATGTATGTACTATAAGCCTCAACTGCCTGATTTTTTTTTTGTTTTGTGACAAAATGTAACTATATTATCACCCAGCTCTTTATATAAAGTTGGGTATACTCATGTAGGGTGATATATACTATAGCGTATCTCATATCTCAACTATACTATTGCCCTTATATATGCGACTATAAGGCATTAAGATATTAATATACTATAAACATTAACATCATGAGTTTCTGTAAAGCTGATAAGCGCTATAAAAATTTATTTTACTTGACTTGCTTTACCATAAAGTCGTGTGTTGTTTTGGGTGGTTGCAACAGTTCTCTAGGTGGTTACTAAGTTTTGTTTGTTTCTTTCTTCTTCTTTTTTTTGGCAATTTTATCATGCAATACAAACAAATATACAATTAAAGTAATATCACATTTTAACTTCCAAACCCCAGAAAAAATTAATGTCTGAATTCTGGATATTCTTTGGCATGTGAATCATTTTGTATAATTTATGGATAAAACCTCAAATTGTGATGTTTGCTAAGGTGAGATGTGACATTACTTTTTATGTAATTGTATTTATAATGGGTCAAAAAAAAAACTTAAACTGGTTTATAAACCCATATACACCCTTAAACTGGTTTACCGAGTTTATGGGGGTTTTGACCCATTATAAATACAATTGCATAAAAAGTAATGTCACATCTCAACTCAGCAAGCCTCACATTCTGAAGTTTTATCCATTAATTATACAAAACGACAAAGTTTAATATTGTAAGATAGGGTTTTGTTCATATCCTTATCCGTTAGAGTAATGGTTGCCTCTGACACCACTAATGATCATTTTACTCATTAACATGCATTTTGTCCTGTGCCCTGATTGGTCAGAGAATGGGGAATGGATTATTAAGCACCGCCCTGCTAAGAAGGTTGTGAACAAGCGATACAGCCCAGATGAGTTGGAGTACCAGGAGATCATCTTCTTCCTCATCATCCAGAGGAAACCTCTGTTCTACATCATCAATATCATCGTGCCCTGTGTCCTCTTCTCATCCCTTGGGTTGCTCGTCTACTTCCTGCCGGCCAAAGGTCAGACTCCATAGTGGATCCTAACAGATGTCACAATGCACGGCTTGCTATTTCAACAAGTTCTTACAAATGTAGAAGTTTTTTTTTTGTGAAGAAATTAAACATGAAGTGTGGCTAGTAATGTCATCAAGAGCCATTGACCAGCGGGACAATAGCAGATGGCTTTATCCATGATAAACATGAACTCATTTGCTTCATGATAATCAAAATGAAGTGAATTAATAACTTTTACAGTAAGACTTTAACCTAACAAATCAGGAGACGTTATCATTCAGTTCATCAGCATGTTTGTGATCAGTATGTTGAATTAATTGTTCGTTTATAACAGCTGGGGGACAGAAATGTACTATGACCATTGCAATCCTGCTCGGTCAGACTGTCTTCCTGTTCCTTATTGCCAAGAAAGTTCCAGAAAAATATATTATTAATTAAAATGTTTCATGTTAAATACAACAAAACATTTTTAATAAGGTGGTTTCTGGCCTTTAATTTGCTCTTTTGTGGTCTGACCTCAGAAAATGGTCTGGGAGGGAACACAGCACAGGATTTAGAATCCAGTTTGGCTTCAGCTTCACCAGAAGTGCAGCAGTGTGTGTCTTCCTGTAAACACATTGCGGAAAGTGCCAAGCACCAAAATGACTTTCAAAGTGTAAGTGGCTGTTCCAGAATTCTCCAAACATGAGGCTGAAAGTGTCTCTTATTTACACAAGAACAGTGGATGTTTGTGTTGGGGTTAAACTTTCCAATCCCAGAAAAACTAGTGCTGACGTCTAAATTCCAGTCATCCTTTCTTCTCGCTCTGCAGGAAAATGAAGAATGGTTTCTGGTCGCCAGGGTGATTGACAGGATGTGCTTCATCGTCATGGCGCTACTGTTTATACTGGGCACCATCGGAATCTTCCTGATGGGGCATTTTAACCAGGCCCCATCTCAGCCCTTCCCTGGAGACCCCCAAAAATACCTGCCTGAAATCTCACCTGGAGACATCACAGGCTGAATGCAAGTTTAAAACCAAATGATAGACTCAGAGAAACTCCAGCAGAAGTCTGAAGGACTTTGTTGAAGATACTTTGGAGACAAAAAGCCGTCAGATTGTTCTAAGCTATGGCAAAGGAGCTCTCAGCATTTCAATTTAGTAGTGCTGCAGGTTTACAAAAGTGATCGAAGGTCTCCAGAGAAGAGAGTTGGTTGGATCCGAAGTCATTTGAAACTTAAATTGGCTTTAATGAGATGTTGATATGAGCGTCATATTATTTGCTTGTCATTGCTTGTCAATTTCTTTATCACCTTTAATTCTGTGTAGTGATTCAACAGATGCTTTCCTGAAAATAAAAACAGTAAACTTCTACACGTAAATGATGTGTCTTCAGCATGAAATCATATGAATTGTTTCAGGTTAGGTAATGTCACTCCTCTACCCCCCACTAACTTGAGCAGGATCTTAATTACATGGCTGACTGGTACTTTTCTGTCTGACAAAGACCAGATCCGGGAAGGAGAGAGCAGGGCAGGAGGGGGGTGTTCGGTGTAGGAGTAGCATTACAACTACTAACACAGTATTTGAAGCTTCTCAGTAAAGGAAACCCTTATCCCGTCACTACTGCACCTGCCCAGCAGCCCCTAAAACCTCAGGACCTGAAATGGTAAGATATGTTGTTGATGTGTCTGTTTAGCAGCTGAATTAGTATTCATTAATGTCTTAAAGTGTCTTTACACAACAAATTATGCGTAATAAGCATAGTTACACAACAAATTATGGCTTATTCACAAGCTTTCAAAAAAAAAAAAAAATCTAGACTGCATCTAGAGTGGAATGAATGAAAAGAGAAGACTCAAGATTCAGTATTTCAGTTTTTTTCTCTTTTCTTACATTTGTTGCTAGTTTTATGGTTTTCTAGAAAAGCTTTCTCGCAAAAAGATTATTATTTTTTTTTATTAGAATCAAAAATGATTTTATTTAGGTATTTTTTGGAATGTAAAAGTCTTAATTTTAATATTAATCTATCTTTTAAATAATTAGCATATGTAATAATACATAAATGATGTTATTAAATAAAATAAATAATAGTAAATAATGTATCAAATAATAAGTAAATAATCTCTTCTTAAATACAATTAAACTATTTTAAATAATGTTTTTATTATTAATTTTAGGCATTGTTTTTATATTATTATTTTTATGGATATAATATTATATGAAAAGATTGCAGTTATGAAAAACGTTTTGCAAAGAGAAATTATTTTTAAATTATTTTTTATTAAAAATACTTTTATTCAAATCAAAATGTATCTTATTTTATAGTGTATAAAAATTAGTCTTTGCCAATTTAACCATTATATTACATTTACTTTTTTTTTTTCTCTTTTATACAAAGTGGTCATTTAAGCATTGTTTTAGTAAACTCATTCTCCTCTACTTTTTTCATATTGAATATCCTGTTTTATGTAAAAATACAGTATGTTATAGAAATAAAATGGGCTGCACATGGCCGTTCACACTGATTTTCAGTGACATTTGACAAATATTTACTTTGGCTTTCATATGCCATGTTTTGACCTCCTGTGTTTTCTCTCTTTCCCAATCAGGCCTCCCCATCTGTGACCACTCAGCCTCTTCCTTTTGGTCTGGAAAGGGAGAAACATATTGACATGCTCTTCAGAGCTTTCCACAGGCAGATTAGACCTACTGCAGACACGCAGGACCTCACTCCTGTGCTCCGGGATACAGGCAGGACAAGAGGAGAGGATGGAGGACATGGATGGAAAGAGACAGACAATGACAGTAAAAGACTGGGAAAACTGTCTGTTCTGAGAACTATCACAAGACTTCATATTACTGCCAGACCAGAACTGCAAGATGAATAAAACATTTATAAAATAAATATACAAATCTCTAAAAAAATAAAAAAACATATAAAAATGTAGTATTAAAAATAGACTATTTTTCATAGGAAAAATATTTGTATTAAAAAGAATACCTTTAAAGATGACATTTAACAAAAATTATGAAGTTCCTATTATTATTACCTATTCAAACTAAAACAATATTCAAAAGACAGACATTGAATGGCTTTGAAAAATGTTTTATACTATATTATTATTTATAAATAATTAAGATGATTAAAAATGGACTACCGTTCAAAAGTGCACGGTCAGTAATTTTTTTAAGTAATTAATAATTTAATTCAGCAAGGATGCAATTTATTAAAAGTGACAGTAAAAAAAAAAAAACATTTATAATTTTACTAAAGATTTCTATGCTTTTCTTTTGAACATTCTACCCATCAAAGAATAATAATATAAAAATATTTCCACAAAAGCATTAAGCAGCACAATCGTTTTTAACAGTGATAATAATAAGAAATGTTTCTTGAGCACCAAATCAGATTAGAATGGATTAAAAAATACTACTAATAAAACAAATAATAAATAATGGTTTAAAGTAAATTAATTAATTAATAATAATAATAATTTTTAATACATAATTTTTATTTAATTTTTATTTATGAAAAGTGGTACAGCTTGGACTTGGTTTTAGATACTCACAGTATATAAATTAATATAATATGACAAGGTGTAATAAAGGTTTATATTTATGTGATGTCTCAGGTCCACAGTGTGTAGCCCGAAGAACATACAGCATCTCCACTGAAACCAGGGACCAGCTCTTTGTGGCTGTGGAAGGTAAATATAAAAAACTGTATACTGTATGTGCTGTTCTGTAAATTATCATATTGTGTGCCACTCTTTAAGATGATTACACTATTATTTACATTGTCAAAGCCACCAAAACAGCCACAAGTAAACTTTAAACACAACTGATTTGTCACAAAACCTATTTTTTGTTCCGTCTTTGTTAGAGAGCTCATGCATGTGTATGCAATGCTGCGGTCCAGCTCGATCCTGTTCACTACAAGGCTTTGATAAAGATGCAGAGTGTGTTTTCCTGTTTGAGAGGCCCCTGAGAGCGGAGATGTGCTGGCTCGGCTGCTGCCTGATGGAAATAAGGGCCTACACACCAGAGAGAGAGCTTATTGGGACAGTTCACCAAAGGTAGAGATCAACAGCAAACCAGATCTCACTCTCATGCAACTAGAATATTAATCCACACTGCAAGAATCAGCCACTTAGATAGGAAAAAAGCCATCTGATTGACATGTAAAACAACTCACGGTGGTTTTTGATTTTTAGGGCACTTGAATATACAGATGCAAACGTCCCAGTGTTATTTTAGTAGCATTGAGATACTATATGTTTTTATTAATATTTTGAATTATGGTTTTAATTTCATTGGTTTTATTTATTGGTTTTAATTTGAGTTAACTACTGTATAATTGCTCTGGTCCAATCAAATTAATTCTAACTCTTGTGTAATGGATGATGTAATCTCCTGTACTGTAAACCTATTATGCAGACAGAACCATCCACATTCATCATGATGCCAACTATTCTATCAGATAAGGTCACCATTGTGTATCTAACTGCGCCCAACAAAAACCCCTCCAGTAACCTCTCTCAAACTGAATAGGGAGAGATGTGGTGAACTTTCTGAGATGAAACCATCAACATGACCTCCTTCTCAGGACAGCCATGAACAAAGACCATGCCATGTTTGTTTGTTGTCACACACCGAGCCTTTCAGCATCAGGTCATATCAAGCTAAAATAATATCAGCCACACAAATGAACATTCACTGGGCTCAGAAAAAAACCCTTCTTATGTGATCTTCAAAAACCAAATTCACTGCATTAAGCCCTGAGGTTTATTATCAGGTGGAGCATGTTCACGCCGTATTTTGAGGTCTGTGACTCCGAGGGCATCTCGGCCGTGAGGATCCAGGGCTCCTGTTGCAATACACGCTGCCTCTCTGAGCAGGAGCTGCAGGTCAGAAACCCTCCAGCAGGCCATTTGTATCACCCATCTTTTACAAGCAGCTCTAAATTGTACTCTGTTCTAATTATTCTCATGTATTGGGGGCATCAGGTGGTTTCCAGTATTGGTGAGAGTATTGGGCGCATATGGAAAAGGTGGCCTGGATATAATGAGGAATGTAACATGGATCATGAGTATTTTGGATTGGATGGTAAAATTAATATACACATATCAAGTGGTCTATATAGTAGATGCTAGAGTGATATACCGTAGTGTGACTATCTCTTTCTCTCTCAGTACCTCAAGGAATGAATTTAAACACCAAGGTGCTGTTACTAGCTGCTGCCTTCCTGCTGGTAAGTTGCCAACCACACACATATGCTGCTATTTTATTCATATGTAACGGCTTTATCGTTTATCTCTTACTGTTTGCAGAATCATATGTTTTTTGAGATGAGCTAAGTGGAAATGCTAAAGCTATCTAGGACATGAAAGACATCGGCTTCACCTGCTAACATCAGCTCTGAAGTGAAGTGTGAACCCAACAATATAGAACTACGGTGACAAGATGGAACACTGCATCATGTTTCTATGACAACTACAAGGAACATGGATTGGTGATGCTTTTCTGAGCTAACTGCATTTGAGCTGTTGTGAACATCATGAATCCTCATGCAAAGCCACTCTACAACTGAACATTTGCACACTAAATTGAACTAAATATTAAACCTATAAAGCTATATCATATTTGATACACAAATTAGGCCTCTAAATTATTAACACGGTCAAAACCTGTGATACACAAATCTACTACATGCCTTCTCTCATCTAATCTATAGTTCAGACTTTTTTAGCAAGTGAAAGGCCTTTTAATATAACTCCTAAGAATAACCCTAAGAATAACTTTTATATTTTCAATAATATTTCAGCATGAACATTAGTATGACTGAGGCAAGGTTTACTTGATTATCCATATATATAAATATATATATATATATATATATATAAATGTTCAAATGTGAGTATAAAATGATACATTAGGGTTTTGATCTCTAAATCATCATTGTATTACCTTGCATCATGTTTTGCCCCACAATGAAAAAACTAAGAATTTCACTGTCTTACTAAGCTATTGTGAGATAAAGAGTGACAACTTATATTTATATGCAGTCGTCTATAAGTAGTCTGCTAGTTTCATCTCACTTTTTGGCCATATAAATGTCAGAAATTGCACCAAATTGCATATTTTTTGTGCAGTTTAGGCCTCTGAATAAAATTGATATATGAGCAATCATATGAGCCATAAATGTAAGGGTTACAGGGTTAAATGTTCAATGCACTCTTTCATAATACAAAAATATATATTACAATATACTACCAACATATATTATTTCTGCATATAATAAAGATTCTTGAAATGTTGTTTGTTTATAATTGTTTACATGCCAGCCACAGTATCACAACTATCTTCATGGCAAGAAAAAGGTTAAATTATGAATAAAGTATTAAAAACTAAATAAAATAAATAGATTTTATAGTTTATTTGATAAAAATTCTAAAACTAAATCTGTCATCACTTCATTAAAATCTTTTCATATTGCCTATTCAGCCCTTCATATTTTGATTAAGGCTATTTAAGGCCCTGTTTCTTAAAGGAAATTTACTAGATACATATTTTCCATAGTTAAGGAGGACTCTATTCCCAGTTTGAACCGAAATTTTTCTGAGGTCAGAATCATACCTAGATGTGAAGTCCAGGTAGCATTAACAGGGCTGTACATGTAACTCATGTTCTTCAAATCATATTAGATGGAAATACTTCCAAACAAATCAGAGCCACACCACAGCTGAAAATTAGCAGCAGATGCATAATCAACATTTATTGCTATGATCAATCATAATTAAAAACCTTTCCTTTCCACTTATTTTTATGTACCTCCAATACAACTGTCCAGCACTGAATTTCAGGCAGTATAAAGTAGGTGTTGATACACAGCCCCCATTAACAGATCAGTATTTGTTAGTTAGCATGTCTGAATAACATCCGAGTGATTTCTAAAACAGGGCTTGGAGTCCTATGAATAAAGTGCTGGAGTCGCGTCTCCAGTGTGGTCTCCTCCAGCCGAGTGCCAGGATGTTGAGCGATCTTGAAAATCAGTGATTTGCCGGAGGCACAGTGAATCAGGCAGCGTGGTACCCATCCCTGATAGGGCACTGTCCTTTGGGTTTACACTCTCTTAGCTCAGGAGAAACAAAAAGCTTGCCATTATAGAGCTCTCCAAATATGTTTAGAAATATAATTCTTTTTTTGTACAACAGTTCTATTTTAAAACAACTCAACACTGTAGCTAAAATACTGCACTATAGTAAAATATCCTCATCAACCTGCAACCTCATTGGTAAATAATGTGACCTAAATGAAACCTGTCTTCCTCTCAGGCCATCTTCATGAAACTGTGTTATTCAGATGATAATTCAGTTAATGTGGCTGTACTACACAAGGGCATGTTGTTGTTTTTCTTCTTGGAAAACGGTGGCAGTTCCCAGCCATTAGTTCATGTCACAGTGGCTGAACTATGTGGTCCCGCTGTGTCCCTCTGAGAGCTCGACCCAATGACTGACAGGAAAACATTCGTTCATATGTTGATGAATTGGTTCCTCCTTCTTCTGTGAGAGTTTTCAGGTGATGTGGTATTTGGAAGATGATAAAAACAGAAGCCGTAAGTCTTCAATAGAACAAATTTGTCATGCTGACCCTTTTCATGACGTCCCGATCGTTTTTCTTTTAAAAACAGGTAAACTCCTCGGAAACGTCCTCTTCGGTGGTAAAATTAACTTGATAATCTAGGTGGGGAGAAAAAGGTAGTACTTTTACCCAGTGATGAACATGTTGGGAATGAATCTAATATACAGTATATCTCATAAAGAGAACTGAGCAGCTCCAGTGTGAGTGATTCCGTGTCAGTCATGAGTTTATACCTGTCTCACACTCTTCAGATGAAAAACTAGCGGCCTCCGCTTGCGTTCACTAGACCATGGAAATCCTCCCAAGCTCTGAAAAATCACACACACACACACACATATATATATTAATACTGTCAAATATATCAACACTACAAATAAAAACAATAAGAATGAGGGAGGAAAAACTATATACTAATGCACAATTATATTCTCAAGTAATCTGAGAACAATATTCACATTTATAAATTAGGAATTTTTTAAACAATCAGAATATTTGAGTATAGTTTTGTAATTGTTAAACATTTAGCAATTGTATTTGTAATAATATTTCCTTCATTTGGATGCAAACTTTACCTCACAGTTAACATCTAGGGAAAAATATTAAACATATTATAGACCTGAATATGTTTAATTTGACAAAAAATTATTTGACTAATTTGGTAAAACTCGCATTACCTTACATACAGTAAATTTATGCATCTCGTGATCATATACTGTGTGATGGTCACATGACAAAAATGCATAATTTTTCTAGTTTAAGAAGACAGTACAACTTACCAACTTTACACATTTCCCCCTGCTCTCCCCTATTTAACTCTATATATTCATTATAAGTGATAGTTTTTACCATTTAATATGACATACAAACTACCGTTCAAAAGTTTGGAATAATTAAGATTTTTCAATGTTTATGAAAGACGTCTCATATGTTCACTAAGGCTGCATTTATTTGTTGAAAAATACAGTAAAAACAGTAAAACTGTGAAATATTATTACAAAAAAACTAACTAAAATTCTATTTTATTATATTTTAAAATGTAATTTATTCCTGAGATGCAAAGCTGACCTTTCAGCAGCCATTACTCCAGTCTTCAGTGTCACACGATCCATTTCAGTTGTGCATTTCATTTTTTTTATATGATGCAATTTCAAATTTTCCCACTGGATAGCTGGTCAATCAGAGCACACCTCGCTTTTCAGACCGATGAGCTTTGTAAAAATCGGCGCGTTTCAGAAAGGCGGGGCATAGAGGAGAAACAATCATGTACAGTATGTGGAAAATAATGTGTTTTTTGAACCTTAAACCGCATAAACACATTTCATTACACCAAATACACAAAATAATGTTCTTTTTAGCAACATCATATGACCCCTTTAAAAGTCTTTACCATCACTTCTGATTATTTAATGCATCCTTGCTGAATAAAAGTAGTAATTTTTTACTGACTCCAATTTTTTGCATGGTAGTATATACAGTCAAACCAAAAATTATTCAGACACCAGATATAATTTTTGATATTTTTTTACTAGTGGGTGCAGGACACTATAGTTCATTTATGTAAGTGAGGATAGCAAAATAAAGTAAACTGTGACATATTATACCCAAAGATTCTTCATACAGTGGACTACCAGTAAAATTGATAAAAATTTGTTCTTGTGTGTGAAATGTTGAAGGTGTCTGAATAAATTTTGGTTTGACTGTATACACATAAATATATGAGTGTATTGTATAACTCACTTGATGCTATCGGTGTGTGTTTTATACTCCATAATGGTATTAGGAGGCAGGTTGAGAACTCTGCGTAAGGTGTCTCTAATGCGAGCAGTGGTGGCCTGATCACTGGCTGTCTTATTCCAGATAGAAATGATATCCTCCTTCAAACAAAAGCACAAATATTTATGACTATACAGAAAAAACTATTATTTACAATATAACAGCTCCACTCATGAACACAGAATGTGCAAAATGCTGTCTATGTTCTAATTAAACAACTGCCATACTGCTTACTGCAAACTACACTGTATGCTATTTTATAAAAATAATATTTAGCAAATATAGTAGGTTTTATTTGCATGCTATACAATATACAAACTATATTGCATGAATATTGCAGTACCTGGAAGCGAACAGACACAACGGCCCCACAGATCTCCTCGCCCACCATGAACTGCTCACCTAGCATGGCCAAGATTAAATTCTCCCAGCAGCGTGACGCCAGGCCTTTACGAAGCCGTATGATCCATTTCCCTCCACTCTTATTGGCATCATCCTAAATAATACAATCCGAATTCTATTTTCTGTCATGCGAAAAGAAGCATTCATACAGTACATGTGCTCTACAAAACTCACCTCCCACATGGGTTTGATTCCTTCCTTAAACAGGTGGAAATCACTGTGACCAGTCAGATCACCCGGTCGGATCATGTGACTATAAAAACGCCAGAACTGCTCCACCTACAAACACAGGGCAGCTGTTGAACTGTCAATCATGTGATCATGTGACCTACAGTAAGGCAGTCAAACTTCATCCCCCACTGTGCCTGTGTTTGAATCTTCATTACGTGAGTCTGAATAAATATGTCAATGTGAGTTTGTGTGTCTGTAGGTTACCGAAGCAAAGCTGCCGATCTGTTTAATGTTCTGTTCGTAGCTCTGTGTGCTGGCTGGCCGTCCTGGTGTGCGACGAGAATACCAGAACGAGTAGTTGTACTGAAGAGGGTGCTCACCAGCCCCTGGGACCACCGCCTGCACAAGTAAAGCAGCTCATAGTTATATAGAACAATCTATTATAATTTACATAGGATTTCTTTCTGTCTATCAATTCAAGTGAGCTTTATTGGCATGAATTATACAGTATAGCCAAAGCATTGACCTATATATCTATCTGTACCTTTCTCTTGGTAGTGTTTGAGTCCTTCTCCTCTTCGTCATGTTTTTCCTTCTCCCCGTCTTTCGGTGAGCAGTTGTCCTGGTCGTGATCTCCACTGTCATCATCTTTCAGGCTTAAAGGGAGAGAAAACTGTCAATTCCACTCACCCACAATATGTTATTATTTTAGTCACTGTGGCTTCAATCAGGGCAATAATAATTGCAGTGGTTCCAAAAAAAATAAATAAATAAATAAATGTGTGATTGTGTGATCATTCATATTTAAAATAAGTCTCTTCTGCTCACCAAGACTGCATATATTTGACCAAAAATACAGTAATAACAGCAATATTGTCAAATATTAATACAATAATAAAAAAAAGTTTTCTGTTTGAATATATTTTAAAATGTAATTCATTCCTGTGATGGCAAAGCTGAATTTTCAGCATCATTACTCCAGTCTTCAGTGTCACATGATCCTTCAGAAATCATTCTATGCTGATTTGATGCTCAAGAAAGCAACATAATTTTTTATGATGTTAAAAACAGTTCTTGCTTCTTAACTGAAGACTGAGTAATGGCTGCTAAAAACTTAGACATGCCAACATATGTTCAACATATTAAATTAAGTCATACAAGTGGCTTTACAATGTACACTTTTTCACAGTACCATGGTACTACCACGGTACATTTTGTAACGGTAATAACATTTCTGAGGATTGTTATAAAGGATATTATATTATAAAACTCGACTTTATTAGCGAAAGGACAGAGGCTCTGTGTGAGTTTGCAGAGACAGACTGCACAACCTTATTTGACCCTGCGCTTATAACGGTCAGTGGCTGCGCATGAGAAGTTTGCAAACATAATAAAGTACGCTGCTTATGTATCAGATGAATATATAGTAGTTTCGTTTTCACGTGCCATGTAAAGTATAGCGTGTTTCGCTTGTGCACAACCCCTCGCGTGTTTCCAGCCAGCCTACACCGCCTCATGCCATTCCAGCTGGCTGCAGAGAAGAGTTTGAGCCGGGGTCGCAGAGCACCTGCCCCCGCTGCTCACACACACGCGTAACCCGGTGATCCGTCCTCGGCCTGGAGGCCCTGAGCATGCAGATCTGGGACTAGAAGTGGTTATTTGCATGCTGCATTCTCCGCATGCATTAAAACACAATCCATCACAAAATCTTAGTGGAGTCCAATCATGCAACTAAAACATGGTGACCTCCCATCCCATGCCAAAGCTTCTAGACACACCTCTTTTCCCCCTCCCCTCTCTCTCCCGGTCTCTCTGAGTTAAAGAGACGCTAGAAACGCATGCATTTGCATTTACGCATGACTAATCCTTGCCAACGTGCAGCGTCGCTTTGATTACTCACGCGTCAAATTTGTTGTTCATTATTTTCTAGGTGAGTGTCTGTATCCGCTCTCGCGCCGACGGCAGCCCCGTCAGTTCCGCAGCAACGGCCGCGCGCATCGTCCGTGGTGGGTGACGCGCACGCTGTACACTCGCTGAATATTTGTATTTTTGCAGTATACAAAAGTGGGAGAAACTGTAACCTTATCCTAGTCTAATAAACATGCTGTGTTGAATAGCTAATGTTTAAAAAATATCTATATAAACACACATGCATACATACATACAGTTCCTAGAAATAGAAGGAAATTATTTAATAAAGTAAATTACAACTGAATTCCTTTAATAATACTAAATAAATAAATTATGAATTTAATTAAATTATTAAGAATTTAACTGGGTCAAGTAATGTCAAATTTCACAAGTTTTTCATATTTAAACTTTTTACTTCATTTTACTAAATTTCACTAAAATTATATAAATATTTATACACATATATATACTGTGTATATATACACACACGCACACACACATAGATACAAACATAATTATATACATTTAAATTATAAGTTTCTGAAAATAAAAGGTAATGATTTAATAAAAGAAATTACAGCACTGATGTCATATTTTATTAAATTATTAATCATTTAATGGGGTCAAGTAATGTGGGTAAGCTTAGTCATTGCTGAACAGATACAAACATTTCTTTTTAAATAAAAATGAATATGAAAAAAAAGAATAGACATCTTATTTATGAGTGTAAAATAATTCTACACGTTTTAAAAAAGTTTTGTATTCAAACAAAGTAAGATTCAAGTTTTAAAATTCAAAATAATTTAATGAATATTACTGTACATATAACAGACACGCACATGAGGAGGAAAGGGTCACAGCAGTGTAATTGCTTCACATAACGAGTCATTGTGTGGCGGCACCAGGCACTGGATCAGGGTGGACAGTGACGCTACAAGTTCGTCACTAACAGGCCTGCGGATCCTCACACACAGGCTATTAGCACTCACAGAGGGGCCGACGGGGCAGCGACTGCGTGAGGGGCTCCAACTCTGCGGCACACTTCAGAGAGAGCTGGAGCTTCAGTAGAGCCGCTGACCCTCCCACTTATTCAATCACTGTCTGCCCTTCTTTTGCCCAGTAATACCCCCATCTTTATTCTTCTGCATCCTTGTTTTCTCTTTCTCTCAATATTGGAATTTTTTTTTTCTGCTCAGTGTTTCACTGAAATTTACATATCATGATGTAGTATAAATCTGTGTGAATATAAAAGTGGTAATGCCTGTGGTAATGCCTAACCACGTGGTAATGCCTGTTTTTGATATTCTAGTAAATGAGATACTTAAAAATGCTTTTTAGTTGATTATTTTCACCTTTTTTGCAACTTGGACAAAAATCATTCATAATAAATAATTCATAATAAGTCTGGCATCAGTACACATTTATAGTACAGTATGTAACACATGTTTCTTAGAGGGCGGTTGTTGAAAGACTAGGCAACCGCTGTGACAAATCCCTAAACAGTTTATACCAGGGGTGTCCAAACTCGGTCCTCAGTTTAGCTCCAACTTGCCTCAACAGGTGTGTTTAATTAAGGTTGGAGCTAAACTCTGCAGGACAGTGGCCCTACAGGACCAACTTTGGACACCCCTGGTTTATACTATGATTTATCCACCGCTGGTGAGTTTTGGTAGCTGTTTGTGGTAAGTGAATTGCACCAATGGCTCCCATTAGGGTGGATGAGGCTGTGCAGAGCCACATACTACACACCATGAGACTCCTGTCCTGAGGATGGAGGGCAAGACTTTCATCTCAACATAGGCATGTGATCCACTTCCTATCGTCTCATCACAGAGATACAGGAGACCTGTGAGAGGAAAGAGAAAGACAAATCTTACATCTTACAGTGGAGAACAGTGGAAGTAAAACAAAAACAGAACTGTCAATTACAGAAATGGTACAAGCAAATAATATTTAGTAGGCTAGGAAAATATATGTAAATGTATATTAATATAATTCATCATAATTAATAACATATAAAAAATACACTAAATTTGAACTAGATATCAGGTTAAGTTTATTTGTTTTATTTTTCAAAATGATACAATGGAAGTCAATGGGAACTGAAACTGTTTGGTTACCAACATTCTTCAAAATATCTTCGATGTTCCACAGAAGAAAGAAAGCCGTATAGGTTTGAAACAACATGAGGTTGAGTGAATCATGACAGGATTTGATTTTTGGTGAACTACTCCTTAAAATGAGGTGAACGATCATTACCTCCTGAACGGCATGGCCCAGAAGCTCTTGACTCTGCATTGCTTTCCTGAGGAGGTTGACAACATTAGTACTTCACTATATTAGAGCCAAAGATTTAAGGCCAATGTCAACTAGTAACAATTTCTTAACAAGAAACTACATTTTACCTGTTTTTTTATCTAGGATTTGTTTTTTCACAGTGCATTGACCAGTTCTATTTACAAATCAATTCTAATTAAAGTATGTCTAATTACAGTATGTAACAATTTTTTGAAGAATGTCTACCAGTGGTCGACCGATATTGGTTTTTTGACAGCCGATGTTGATATCTTAGAGAGCAGGGTGGCCGATAGCCGATATAAAGCTGATATATGTATGTATGTGTGTGTGTACATATATATATATATATATATAATTTGTATTTATTTTAATTAATATTTAAGAAATTTGAAATAATTATATAATTTAAAAATGTGTCAAATAAACATACTTGTAGTTTAGATGACAACTTCTTGATTCTATAATCCTATTAGAATATTTTTCACAAATAAAGAATTTTTAAAAAAATATATATAAATAAAAAGGAAGTAAACACTGTAACCAACAGGGCACTCAGTAATCTGGGATGTTTGTGTGCATTGGGAATCATATTTTTTCAAATTAAGCCAAGGTATCACTCATTTTACGTACAGCACACAGTGAAAATGACATGAGTATGACAGTGGGCAAATTAATAAAGTGGAACATAGTTTGAAATCATGAATTTAAAGAGTACACGCGATCATGCAGGATACAAATGCACACTTCATAACATCTCACAACTGGATTTGACCAAGTCTGCAAGGTTTGTGATACTTAATGTTTATTAAATGTTATTCTATTACTAATAATATGAAAGCAATCGTTATAATACTTTATTGTATACATTTTAATTCCTTTGTTTAACAGTTCTATCTGATTATTAGACAGACTTCTATCCGTATCATCAGACAGAACTGTTAAAGGGCGACAGCAAACAATGAAGAGGGAGAATGTCAGCGCTGTGTGCATCGTCAAAATAAAAGTCCCGGCTCGAACACATCGGCCAAACAGAAAAACTTATCGGCTGATGCCAATATATTTGAAAAATGCCAAATATCGACCACTAATGTAGACACATATGTAAGATTTTATTAATGTCTATGACTTTAATCAAAATTTTCACCGATATTTCCAGATTTTCCTTGTAATAGTGTGTAGGTGGAGTGCTTACCGATTTATCCTGCATGTAAAAGTGAGCGTGAAGTGGGCGCTGAGTTCTGGCTGGTAGGTGGAGGGAATTATGACGTACTTGCCCGGCTGTAGACGGCAAAACACACTGACCTCCTGGGAGTGGGCATGAGGTACACAGCTAACCACCGGAGACATGGCACCAGGGCTTAAAAGAGAGTCACCATCAGGTACCTGGAGACACACACATACCAAATACCAAAAGAGATTCACTACTGAATGTTAGACACCGACACCTACTATAACTAATACTGTTACCAGAACAATTATGACTAGAACTGGACACTTTTGGCACATTAAACACAGCTTTTCAGCAGTTTAGTCATTTAGATGCCTCAAAACAGATTATAAATGAGGTATGTATCAATTCTGACCTTATAAATATGAAAGCCGATGGCATGGAGGGAATTTTCAGGCCTGTTTTGGCATAATGTGACCTTTACGTTGTTACCTCCAGGGTCATAGGTCACAGTAAAGGGTATACGGGGGTTGAGTCCATGTGTGGTGAAGTTGCGACTTCCTCCTGCAGTAGAACCAACGGACCAACAGCCATGAGAGATGATGGTTTCCCACTCGCCCTCTGAACAGTGTTGAAGAGGAGGAGGGGATTTCATCACACTGGAGAAAAATACAGACGATTTGGACCAATGATATGGCTTTATCATATCATATTGCATATTTAGATGCAGTGTGTATATGATCACTAATAATTAGTGTCATTATTACATATATACACTGCAGTTCAAAACTTTGGGGTTAGTAAGAATATTTTATACTTTATTCAGCAAGGATGCATTAAATTGATCATAACAGTTTCCACAAAAATATTAAGCAGCACAACTGTTTTCTACATTCATAATAATAAGAAATGTTCCTTGAGCAGCAAATCTGCATATTAGAATGATTTCTGAAGGATCATTTGACACTGAAGACTGGAGTAATGATGCTGAAAATTCAGCTTTGACATCACAGGAAAAAAAATTACATTATAAAATATATTCAAATAGAAAACACTTATTTTAAAGTGTTATAATATTTTATAGTATTACTGTTTATGCTGTATTTTTGACAACATAAATGCAGTCTTGGTGAGCATTCTTTCAAAAACATAAAAAATAAAATACTGCCAAACCCAAACTTTTGACCCGTACAAAAAGTTCAATACAGTTACGTTTGTCTTAGTGCAGTCACCTGAGAGAGGTAGAGCAGGAAGAATGAACTCTCAGAAGGAACCGGCCCTCCGCTCCCTGCAGGAAGGTACTAGGCACCAACAGGTAAAAACCAGGATTCAGGTGAGTGTGCACTACCACTTCCCGATTGTACGCATGCATGTGCGACACAAGCGGTGGATTGTTCAGCGTCCGCATCAGGTTAAAGTGTTTCTTCTCCACCTATAACATATTATACATAACATTACATAATGAAACATTTTCAATCACTCAGAAATTATTTTTTAGTGATTCTCTAACCTTCCACACATGCAGTGCAATGGCCTGGAGGTGTGAGTGCTGCTGAGTGCCGCCCTCTGCTGGTGGTTCAGGATGTCTGTACTGCAGCAATGACAGCAACACTTCCCCTCTCTCACACAGTTTTAACCAGAACTTAGGGTTGATACTAAAAGTGTTATTGTTACGGCAACCGCCCGCAGAGTGACCTTTGACCCAGCGACCTCCAATTTGGTGGCTGTGGGTTAGATAGCTTCCTACATGAAGGGAAATCACAAATTAATATAAATATGAAACAAATATCTACATTTATTATTATTATTATTAAACGTGCAAATGATTCACTAGATATTCAAACAATTTGCAGATATATAATATATAAGACAGCAAGGCACTGGTCATGCAAATGCTCTCAAGAACGCATAGACCAAAGATTCCCAAACTAGGACCCACGGGCCAAAGTTGCGCTGTGATGACCTTTGATTTGGTCCATCATGCCATTTCACAAGAGGAATAAAAAAAAAAATCTTAATTCCTAATCTTATTTATATTTTTGTTATAACATTTTAGTTTTATTTTTTGCATTGAAATGTAAAAAACAATGTAAATGAATATGAGTATAAATTAATTTCAAATAAAAAAAATTATAAATTTTTAATTATTTAAACAACTGTACAATTTATAGACAATACCTGTGTAGATGCTTTGGAGGTGTCCTGCATCACTGAGGGGATAGCCTACTGTAACCTCATCAAATTCCTGCTGGAATTCTGTCTCGTCCATCCAGAATTCCCCCTCTGCCGTGCGGCCCAGTAGAGCCTGGGAACAGGAGGGCTCCAGAGAAGCCCAACCTGATCCACTGTACAGAGAGACAGACAAAACCAGTCAGACGAAAGCTGCATTTACACTATCACCAACATTTGCATATGATTGTCACGTTTTGCCCCCTAGTGCCAGTCCAACAACTGCCCCTCCACTTATTCATCACGGTAAAATTAATAAATAATGATATCCACACAAAATAAATGACCACCAATATATTTGAAAGAAAATCATAGTAGGTTTTCTAGGGACAATGAATGTAAATAATTATTTAGGAATTATAATATTAATAATTACGTCTGAAATAATTATAACCACTCATTTGACAGAAATAGTGTTTAAAGAATCACATTTTAGTGGAACAATATTGGTATTTCTCACTTTGTTCTTCAATAATATAACAGTTTTGATTAAAATATGTCACATCCGGTCTGGTGTTGCATTCAGTCTAACTGCAAAACATAAAAAGTTCAACGTATCCCAAGCTCAAATAGGATCCAAAAATTCTTCATATGCAAATGAATGACTTCCAGTGCTTTGTCAGAGATAGGCGGCTAGACACAGCACTGCAGTTACTAATTAAACCTTATTATATATTGTTAGACATGTTCAAATCATTATACACAGATATGAAAAATTCACAATTAAAATAACAAATTGTTCTAAAAACATATATTTATAATACATATATAGAATATAAGGTACTTAACGCACAAAACAAACCAAAAAATGGTCCGGTATGTGATGATTCAGCAATTTTTTCCCTCCATACCTCTCTCTCCAGACGCCGGTCCAGCTCCTCCTGCCCCAGGGGTTTCGTATCCTGATCAGCTCCACTTGTTCACCTGTAGTGGTTGTCACATTTGTCCACTCCATCACACTCATGGCGTGGAACTGACCAAGCTCTGGGATACCTGCAACAAACCCATTACTAGAACTATTACAGTACTATTATTAAATACTTCCTATGGTATTTTGTGAAAGATTTTCTGAAAACTGCAGCAAAGATTTGCCAGCAACAAATTTAAGGAGTAAATGTGGGACATTATAAAATCTGTAAACTATTGTAACTATTGTTGCTGTAGTCTATAATAATTCCCAAATAGTGTTGCTATTGTTAACTAAAACTATTAAAAATCATTGCAATAAAATAAATGTTAACTGAAATAAAATAAAATACAAAAAACAAACTAAACAAAATTAGAAATGTTTCTAAATAAAGTAAGTTGAAGTACTAAAATTACTAAAAAAACTGAAGTAAAAAAAACAGAAACATAAAAAACTAATAAAAACGCACAACAAAATTAACTTAAACTATCATTAAAATGAAAACTGATAAATATAAACATAAAACCCAATTCAAAATGTTAATAAGTACTATAATAGTATATTATTAATACTTAATTTGGTTCCGTTTTAGTTGATGTATTCATGTAATAACTGTGTCAATGATGGAAAGTTAATTTAATTCAGCTTTAAGCTCGTGTTTGGAGATCGCAATAGCAAGAGAAAAAAAGTCAGCGGTTGCTTTCCTCTTTCACCTGTAGGGGCGCAGTGGACACAGCAGCCGATGGCACATCGCTCCTTCAGCTCCAGTGAGAGTTCAGATAGTCTCATCCCATTAGGTGTGTGTTGAGTCTGGGAGTCGTTGGGCTGTTGTGGAGACTCCGCCCCTTTTAGATTCCATCGTACTGCTATGGTTCCGCTCAAGTCCACAACTGCCTCACATACTTGCCCCGCCCACAAACGCTCGTACGAACCATGTAACCTAGCATGAAGAACAATTAACAACTTCTCAATTATTAGGTTTTGCTTTTAGTTCACACATTACAGTTACATTGTATAATCCACCAAAATCTTCATTCAAGTTATAGCACTTACTTGGCATAAGCTTTCTCCAAAAGTGCTACCCAGAATGCCCTAGGGCTCTGGCATCGTGAAAAGCTGAGAGTGTCATTGATACAGGGCAGCTGGTCATCCACCCGTACCTCTATCCAGCGCCCGTTCTGCCAGAACTGGACCCGGAACTCACCGTGGTAAACACGGTCACCCCACAAAGGCTGCTCTGGTGGAAATACCTGATAACAAACACAAACGCACATAAAAATACACCTTGAAAACATTCAGTTTTTACACAGAATTATAAAAGAACAAACCACAGCTGTGTTATCATCATTTTTTAGAATAAGTCTAATGTGTGAAATATGATCGAGGTTTCTTGCTATGTAACTGGTATGTTTAAAATAACTGAATAACAGAGTGCAACAGTGACCACTCATTTTCCAGTGACCTGGGTTCCGAAAGCATCTTTCCCATTCATTTTTCCCATAGGGATTTTAAAAATAGTGTTTGTTAAAGAGTTAAAAGCCATGAACCAAACCAACAGAACTTCTCATCTTCCCAGCCACCCCATCAGTACAGCATCTCATCAACAATACTCCATCAAGTTCGGCCAGGAATCTTGGGGTGATCCTTGATGATCAACTGACCTTTAAAGATCACATTGCAAAAACCAGTGTTGGGCTAGTTACTCAAAGAATGTAATATATTACTCATTACTAGTTACTCCTTTTTATTACTTTTTGGCAACAGTAATTAGTTACACTACTAGTTACATTACTATTTCTTCAAAGCTGTTTTATGGATGGTAACTGTAATATTATTACTGAAATCTTATTAGTAATTAGTTACACTACTAGTTACTGCAAAAAGTAATTTTATTACAGTAACTAAGTTACTAGTAACTAGTTACTGCCCAACACTGGCAAAAACAGCACGATCATGCAGGTTTGCACTACACAACATCAGGAAGATGAGACCCTTACTAACAGAGCATGCAACACAGCTTCTCGTCCAGGCCCTTGTAATTTCTAGGCTGGACTATTGCAATGCTCTTCTGGCTGGACTTCCAACATGTGCAATCAGACCTACCTAACTCCATCCGAACAAGAAACAACTGAAAACTCATCTCTTCCGTGAGCATCTAACTGCCACCTCATAATAATAATAATGAAAAAAAAAAAATAATTCTATGCCTTCACTTTTTCTGTTCTCTTATTATCCTCCTGTCCTAGCTTTTTACTATTGTGAACGATGATTGAAACCTTGTATAACGGGCACTTCTCGTGTTTATTGCCATCTTATGATACATCGCTTCTTGTATTCCTCAACTGTAAGTCGCTTTGGATAAAAGCGCCTGCCAATGAATAAATGTAAATGTAAATGTAGCTACAAAGTCAATCACAACATTACAAACTCCTACTCGAGCAAAAAAGTATATGAAAATTGAACAAAATGTCAAAGGTACAAGTTTTTTTTTCCGGACTGTTGCACTCTATTAAACATGTCGGTTTTATTTCCAGTTAAGATAAAACATCTCCACATGAAATCTGGCAAGTGTTGTTCACCTTGTTCAGAAGATGCTGGTTCTTGAGTAACATGGAGCAGGCACAGAGCAACCAGCAGTCTCCCAGGATGCCTTGCTTTGGGTGGGCCTCCACAGGGTCATCGGGGAAGAGCTGAGGCTGCTTGCAGATCTCCTGTAATATACAGAAGGAAAAGTACTGTAAAGTTGCTTAGTGACAATCTGCATTGTTAAAGCCCCACGCTATGTCTGAAATCGCATCCTGTACAGTAGGTACTATATGTGGTTTGAAACTTACTTCATGAACATTAAAAAAGTATGTTCTTTATAGTATGAATGTATGTAGTATGAATGAAATTCATCATGCTGTCACTGTTTTAAGAATTCGTACAAACTTCTCAAGCTAACCCACTAAAATCCATACAAGCAAAACCAAGCTAAATGGAAATCAGTTCTTAAAGAAGGTCTTCATGTGTGCTCGTTGGAATCTACATAATATTACCTGTGTGACAGAATGACTGAATATTGTGGTACCTGTGGGCGGAGCCATGTGACATAAAAAAAAAAAAATTATTGTGGCAAAATTGTTTAAAAATGACGCTATAACTGAAGGACAGTCTTACAGGCTGTACTGTGCAGACACACCCTGTCTGTAAAGTACAGCCTCCTTCATACTGTATAAATAATCATCTGAGAGATGTGACGGATGCAGAGGCTCTTCCACTGAGGACCTTCAATCTGAGGTATGGTGAATTTAAATTGAAGTCTGTTGAATATTATAGATTTCTTCAAAGTGTTTAAATACATTCAGATGATAAATTATGATTATGAATTACATTTACTAAATTGATTGAAATATTAATGTTATATTTAATACAAAATATTAAATTTAAATCAAACAAAAGTTATTAAACTATTGACTTTATATTGCCAATGCTAGATATCAGTGTTAATGTGATCTTGAAATTTAAAACTAAAGTTAAATGTTATGTGTGTAATTCTTTGGAAGATAAAATATATTTTCCTATCTTAATGCGGATATAACTGTAAGCAGCCACTCCTAAATTAATTTCCCCAAAAGTGTACACTGAGTGGCTCTGTGTGGCACTTTCAAAGCATTGATCTATTTTTTGATGGGCTTCCCAGTTGACGCTCAATAGAAATGCCATGTTAAGAACCTTCATAAAAATGTACTACTGTAATGAAGTTCTATATTGTCAATATTTTTAGTGTAAACATTAAAATAGCAGAACATTTTCCTGTTCAGTTTTTTAAAATGATAATATAAAAATCTTAAATTCAATATAAAACGACAACATTTTGCCATCATTAAATTGCCTGCTTATGATCCAAGTATATTTACAGCTTATGTGTTTGATATGTAGTATTTTGTTTTTGATTAAGATTTTGCCATGGGTGCCATGAGACTCTGCTTCCCGCTCTTCTGCCTCTTCTTGGCGAGCGTCTCTTCTTTGAGAAAACTTAACAATATTCATGACTTGAAAAACATTACATATGCCAAGTCTGCGCCACGTCATGGACTCCATTTATTGTTCTGGTTTGCCCAAAAAGTCTTGACTGTTGATCAGAACAACATGCTCATCCTTGATTCGAATTTTGATCCTAGTAGAGGTGACTTTGGATTCCATGGTTATGGCAATAGAGAGGACATTCTCCCCTCATTGAGCTCTTGGCAGAGTTACTATTCGGTTGGCAATTTAAAATCTCCCGGAGCCAATGCATTGCCAGCCTATGTGCGGAAGTATTACAGAAACACCAATGTGCCAGAAAGAAACATGGACAGGCTCATTATCTCTGTGAAACAAAATAGGCCAAACAAGATACTCAGCGTGTTTATTACAGCACATGACCTTCACAAGAATGACTTTAATCCTTCGGACACTTATGAGATTGATCCTGCTCTGCTCTTGCAGATTGGAGACCCGTACAACTGCACTGTGGATGAGAGCAATATTTCTGGTTTTTACACAATAGCACGCAATACAGAAGACACGGAATATGACAGATGCCTACAGTTTCTGACAGAGACAGGATATAGCAGCAATGACTGTAAACACAGTCATACCAGCCGCAGAAAGAAACGCTCACCCTATTTGCAATGTAATGCATATGAAGGAATTAAACTAGAGATAAAAGCAACTACAGAGGGTTTCTCAAAACTCCTTTGGGAGATACCTGCTAAAATGACGGAAAATTCCAAATACGTATACATTGAAATTTGCCAAAACACTCGTTCCAGTGAAACTAATGAAGTTCATACGCAGGTCAGGAACCAGTTGGATATTTATGAATCGTCTGGGGCTTTAGATACTTCTCTCTCCATGAATGCTGGTCTCCAACCTCGACTGCGACTGTACCCATCACTTTTTGATTTTCAATTTACTAATCCATACATTTGGTATGGACCAGAGTTTGATGGAGCCAACAGAGTGATTCCCATTCGAATAAAGGGGTTTGATGCAAGTCTGCAGCTCTATACTGAAGACGGAAAAGCCTGCGCTCGACTCTACATCAAGAAAACCTTTAGCAACTGGAAAAATGTTTTTTCCCACTCATGGGTGGGGTTTTACAAAAGTTCACAAGATAAAAATGATGCCTATTCAGCATATCAGTATGCTGATAAGTTTTCAAAGATTGAAAACTATATCACACACAATTATGATATTTACCAGTACAGTTCCAGTTTAGCTATTGCTCCTGGAGTTCTAATCCGTTTTCTGCTGGACAAAAAATATGACAATGTTTTAGCAGAAACTGTGCCCTGGGAGGGTGTTGAAACAGTGACAATATTTCTATCAGATTGTGGCACACAAAGTCTTCAAGCTAAACTCTCATCAAACGTTCCAGAATTCTTTTATGGACCAGAGTATGATGATGTTGGTCTGCAGCTCTACACTGAAGACGGTAAAGCTTGTGCTCGACTTTATATCAAGAAGACCTTCACAGACTGGAAAGATATCTTTTACTACTCATGGGTGGGGTTTTACACTAGTTCACAAGAGAAAAATGATGACTATTACACGTATCACTATGTTGTGAAGTTTGAAAAGATGGAGGTTGGTAATGAGAATTATGATATTTATCAGTACAAATCCAAACTGGCTATTGCGCCCGGAGTACAGATCCGTTTCCTGAAAGACAAAGGTTCTGATAATGTATTAGTGAAAACTGAGCCCTGGAAGAATGGTTAATGAATCCATATAAGCTTTAAAGTAGGATAATGTTACACTAACAGTAAAAATTCCTATTAACTTTGACTTTAATGAGTCTTTACTAATATACATCAACATCTGTAACAATCTGCTGTCCATGTCCTGATAAGAATGATCAATAACACATTGTTCTAACATGTCATGCACTGTTAATTACAGATCTCTCTAATACTTATATCTTTATTTGTTTTTAACAAACACTTATTCTAGATAAGATAATCTCTTGTTAACAATAATCTTGAAAACTGAATTTAATTATAATGTATACTATGCAATAGCCTTGCTCTGTTTGTTGTATACTTTTTTTTTCCTATTAAAATGCATCTGATGAAAGTGAGTTGAGTCTGTGTCTTTTTTGATATTCCAATGTACAGAACAAGCATACCAAAACTGAATAACGGTGGCAGTTTTTTTTTTATTGTGAATTCTGTCTTTCTAAATTTTGTGAAATGTCACATGTGTTTTAAAAATGATTAATGTATACAATTATATTAATTACAAAATCTGTTGGCCAAAACAATCAAATATATTCATGGAGTATTCACCCACTAAGAACTAACTACTCCAAACTAACTGATAATATATTTCTCCTGACTATATATGGCAATTACATCTTAGCAGTTTTGATGAATGGCTACACTATTTTTAATTTTGTCATTTCATCTGAATATCAACATTTGTGAGATTTAGTCAGTCGAAACAGTTTTGAGGTTAATGAGGGATTTGTGGACAGTAGGGCCATTTTTACCCCTCTTTTTCATATTTTACATTTTGTGCTATAACAACTAATAAGCAAATGGTTTTTATTTTTTTCTATATAAACAGTTTTGAGGTTAATGAGGGATTTGTGGACAGTAGGGCCATTTTACCCCTCTTTTTCATATTTTACATTTTGTGCTATAACAACTAAATAAGCAAATGTTTTTATTTATTTTCTATATTAAACACTGGCTAATGAATCATCATCCTGCACATGCTAAACTTATATCTAAATATGTTACAATTTAAAAGTCAATTTTCTTGTTCTTAAGGGAGAATCTTCCCCCATTTTACCCTATACAGTATGTGAGATGTTCCATGTTTATAACTAAAAGTATAACTCCTTAAAATTGACAAAAATTATGATCTGATCTGAATTATGACAATCTGCCAATAACAAGTTAATACAAATAACACTATGCTGTGCATTTTGATGGGAACAAGAATTCTTATATCAGCACAAATCAATTTGGCCACTGCATTTAGAGTACACATCTGTTTCCTGATAGACAAAGGTTATGACATAGCCCTACTACATTAGTACAAACAGAGCCCTAGAGTACTGTCTAAAAACTCCTCATTAATAAATCATATTACAATGAATGATTAATATTTTTAACAATTTGGGATAAGCAGGTGGGCCCTCTCACAACACATGTCCAGTTTCTCATGCAGTGTCACTGACATGACATCTGTCTGTATGAGTTCTTGCTTTTTATACATTTGGTGCAATATCAGACGAGGAAGAAGAGTGTTATTTTTGCCAAAATGATTCCATGACTCATTCATTAAGACAGTGACTTGCTAGTGACAGTGGTTTTAGTTTCATAATTAAACATTATTTATTTGTCCCCCACCATTTCATTCATATTCAAAATGTTTTATTAAAACATGAATCTCATAAAATCAATATTTTGATTTTTTTTGCACCCTCAGATTCCAGATATTCAAATAGTTGTATCTCGGCCAAATATTGTCCTATCATAACAAACCATACATCAATGGAAAGCTTATTTATTCAGCAAAAAAATGGACCCTTATGACTGGTTTTATGGTCCAGGGTCACATATATATTTTCTCACTCCAAACTGAGCTAAAAAACCCCGATTATTTTAAATTAGACTTGGAGTAAACAAATTCAAAATATTCTAATATTCCAATTGTTCCTATAGGTTTCATAAATACCACAACCTTTGAAATATGGTAATATTTAAAAAAAAAAAAAAATCTAACTCTATAGATTACACATTACTCACAACAAATGGACAAATGTATACTTTTCCTTTCTAAAGGAAAATGTGCCAAGTTCTAAACCACAGAATCTTCTTTGACTCTTGACATGCAAGACTATTCTCATACTGTGTGTAGTGTGAGATCTTCACAGCATCACAGCCTCTGCACAAGCTCCATTTCATGCCCGGGGTCCTTATTTACCCTGTCGGGTTTATTAAGGGATAAGGATTGTACAAATGCCTTACAAATCATTCAGTGAAGAGTATTTTTTACATGCTCATCCTTGTTTTTATGAAAGAGGAACACAAGTTATATATAAATATTTTTTTTTATATGAAACTGCTGACAACAGCTCACCAGTTTGGACCTGTCACCCTGCAGGTCGTGTTCAGTCTCCCCCATTACAGCCATTTAACATCTGGGGGAAGGACAGAGTAAAAGTTAAAGACCTGTTTTCTGTTTTAACTAAGTTACTGTCCAGTGTGCCCTTTTTGACACTAAAAACAATGACATAGACTACTGTTGCAGAACCTTTGCTGTTTCACAATCTCCAGTGAACAATACTAATAATGTAATAAAATAAAGGAAATGACATTAAAGGTTATGGCTGTTTGCAAACATGATGACTTCAGCAGCCCTCATGAATCACGAATGCCCCAAGTTCAGGGTAAAGAGTTCATAATCAACCCTCATCTTCCAAGTTCTGTTATTACACTAATGATGGTAAAGCTTGTGCAAATGATTTTAGCAAATGGCTGCAATATAACAAAGAGTGAAAAATTTAAGGGGGTCTGAATACTTTCCGTACCCACTGTATGTGTGTGTGTGTGTGTGTGTGTGTTTTTCAAAGCTGTAAATAAAACAAAGATTAAAGTATGTTTTACAAGAAAATAATATTTCTACTTAAAAATGTTATGTTTAATTCAACATCTTACTTGCCATTTCTTTGTAATTAATTGTGAAATTTGCTAGCAATTTCTGAATGTTTTTGTTGTTGCTGCAGTAATAATTCTACAAATTATTATGTGACTTCCTGTATCAGGTAATTCAATAATGTACAATTATTGTGTAGTAATCACAATTAATGTGTGTCTGAATTGCAGAAATCTGTAATTTTATTATTATTATTATTTATTTATTTATTTATTGCATGACTGGTTGATAATAGCAAATGCTGAAGTTCATTAGACATAAAAGATCAGCTCGTGACAACACACTGATGCTTTTGCAAGCACTAAATAAATCGTCAATCTTAAAAAAAAAAAAAAATACATTAAAGGTTATATGAGTATTTTGGGGCTGTTGTTTGGTCTACTGGCATGTGGGCACATACTGCCACCTGCTGTCTACTGTGTGTCCTCACAAACTTTTATATATAACTCCACCTAATGGAAATGTTGTCACTTCTGCCAAAAGGGTTAAAAATATTTCTGTTTTGCCCAGGTGCACAAAATTGTTTTAGACTGTTGCAGAGCAGCCTTGTTGTAAGCATTAAGTATTAGGAAAATACTTCAAACTGAGTAAACCATATTAGAAATGCAAACCTTATTAAAACAATAGCAGACAAAACATAAAGACACAATGTTGCTGTCAAAACTATTTATTAATTAACTAATTATGAAAATAAATTCTAATCAATATGCTTTATATTACTCTTGATTTAGGCCGTTTTAGACCGATTTGATGATCCACATTATGTTGATTTGCCTTTTTTCAATGCAAGACATAAAATAAAAACTGTTACAAGAGGCATCTCAAGTTTTACCTTCAGCTCATTCATATTTACCAGAGTATATTCATAAGGAGACATAAACATAAACAAAATTCCATTTGCATATAACAAAACAGGGCTACTGTATGTTGGTAATTTAGTAATATTCACTACTAAGGTTAAGTTTTGTGTCCACTGCCAGGTTAAGTTTTGTGCTCACTGTAAGTGTGTGTAATGCTGAACTCAGTGGATACGCAAGCTGACGTTCTGAACCCACAGATCACCAGGGTTTGCACAGATCTGTCTGTTCTTCACCGTAGTAAAACTGCAGGAGAGAGAATGTTCTAGATTAAATAGTACAGGTATTACAAATTGTTCTCTTACATTGTTATGTAAGAATCGTTATATCTGAGACATGCCATTTTCATCTATTTAAGAAATAAGTGCTGTTCCTCTATGTTGCAGGTCATGGTGGTGTCCTGACGGGTGAAGTCTTTCAGTCGAAGGACAGGAAAAGGCTGTAATGAATATTTGGTACAGCACCTCACTGGACCTTAACACATGACAGACTTGACCAACTATCCTGACCCATAGTTTTATTCAAAGATTCATTCATCTGCTCATTTTCCTGGTAATAAACTTGGCATTGTATACTATGAATATTGTTTACTCTGTGAATTTTTTTTATTCTATTTTAAGTTGCTTTAGACAAAAATAACTGCTATAAATGTAAATATAAAATTTTCTGAAATTACTGGTTTAGACACAAAACATTATTAGTGCTGGTAAATATAATTCTAAAATATATGTGTCCCAATCCCCAGCCACAATCCTCAGTCACCAGCCCAGTCACCGTTGAACTATGTTTCCCAGCATCCCTGCTGGTTCCAACCTGTGTACACTCCACAATCACCACACCTGTCTGCCATCAGCCTCATCAGTCCCCAAAAGCCAGCACCAAATTCACATGCTTTGTCTTGTCTTGTTTTTGTACAGGACTGTTTGTGTCTATGAGGTCTTGCATTTTCTGTATAGACCAATTCAACTCACCTGTAACTACTTACCAGCGTTGTTCCCTTGGAACCCTCTCACCTTTGATTTCCTACCTTCTGCATCCTAGTTCGTCCTCAGTCTGGTCTGCTTCAGCCTTGTGTTCCAGTAATAGAAAGAACTCTCATTTTCAGAGATAAGTTGTTTCAGTTATCCTTTATCTGCTCACCTGTTTACTTTGCTGTGCTTCCAGTACTCCTGCAAATAAACCTTGTTGAGTTTACTTGCATGTCGATTCTTGTGACAATATGTAATGAATGCAAAAAAAGTCATCACTCTGACTGTAGATACAACGCAACCAATTAAAAAAATGCAGACAGTTGCCACATTTTTTATATTTAACAATGGAATACTTTAATAATTTAAAATAAAGTTAGATAAGGTTAAAAAATTGTTTAAAATTGTTAAAGTTTTTTTCCCCCCTCAACATGAAGATTTTAGGTTAAAATGTGGAGTATGAATGTACAGTATA